TCAGGTACAACATACTCCTAGTTCAGGTACAACATACTCCTAGTTCAGGTACAACATACTCCTAGTTCAGGTACAACATACTCCTAGCAGAGTTTCTGGTAGAGTGCGGAAAAAAATTGAAAATAGTGCGGAAATTTTTCAGAATAGTGCGGAAAAGTGCGGAGTACGAATTTGCATAAATTAGCATAATTATCCGTATAGAATATCCTTAAATATAATGAATAGCGAGTTTTTGACATCTTTTAAACAAAACGACAGTAATTTTCATGTTTTTTTTGTAATTCATTAGGCATGCGGTATATAGTATTTACTCGTGATCGTGTATTGGCCGTATCCGTAGATTTAAGCCGCACTCCGAGTTTGAGAGAAGTCATATTTTCACTCTTGTCCAAAGCAAAGTAATAGCAATTTTCTTTGAAATATTTTCCAATTATAAATGGTCCTTAGAAAGTATTTTTGTTTGTATTATTTAGAATGTTTATGTATCGTTTGGGTAGGTAAACATTGGAGTAGACGGTCTGTCTCACATGGTGTATGTAGCACGTGGGAATGTGTGTGAAAATTTGCATTTTGATTCTGCAACAATCAAAAACTTATCCATTTGATTTGTATGAAGTAACTATGAATTCTTGTGAGTTGTACAAAACGTTAAACATGATTTCAGTGCATTTACAGAAGGAGGTAAAACCAAAAACTGCACAACAACGTAATAAGTATGTAAATTTATACGTCTTCACGGCAAATTCAACTGGATTCACTTCAAATGATACAAGTCATCGAAACTCATAGATCTTCTGCTAAAGACCAGAGAAATCTTCAAATTCACGGGATATTTGCATAACATACTTATTAATTTTGTATTCGAGAAACTAATAAGCTCAATAGAAATTAATCAATGGGGCATTTGACGGCTTTCGACGTATAAATCAACACGTTGTTCCGTTTTTTAAGTGTCTCCGTAAATAATCCGTTAGGAACGCCTTGTAGAATTTCGAACACGGACATTAGGAGAGGAGCTCGATGAATGTGTGTTTTCTGAGCTTCAAAAATGCTGTAAATTGGAAGAAATCGTCGAGTTTAATTAAAAAATTACGTAAATGCGAAGGTAGGCAAATGCTGAAATGATTTTATTACAAAATTTACGATAAACTTTGTAGAAAAAATCGGAAAAGTGCGGAGATGTGCGGGAAATGTCGGAAAGTGCGGAAAAGTGCGTATTTTGGTAAAAAGTGCGGATGCGCACCTCCGCACTCTACCAGAATCTCTGTCCTAGATCAGGTACAACATACTCCTAGATCAGGTACAACATACTCCTAGATCAGGTACAACATACTCACATACTCCTAGTTCAGGTACAACATACTCCTAGTTCAGGTACAACATACTCCTAGTTCAGGTACAACATACTCCTAGATCAGGTACAACATACTCACATACTCCTAGTTCAGGTACAACATACAATAACATACTCCTAGTTCAGGTATATTACTCCAAGTTTAGTAATCTTATATCAGTGAAATAATATGTAGCCCCAGTACATTTGCAATATTTATTGCAAGGTCTTGGCTTTAATTTCTTGTTCTTACATCTTCTTTCTTATCTATGACATTTCACTCTGCAATTTGATATAATATTAATTATATCAATTAAAGCAGTCATTTTTAATGAAACTAGACGCTCTTAGAGTGTGAAGTCGGGCTAGCTATTTTTGAAAATTGAGAAAGACAGGATATTACATGGGTGCACATACAAGAGAGCGAATTAAAGGTGTTTTAAAACCTTTAAAAACATGATAAGATTATGATGTAATATTCTGTCTATCATATGATTATATATGAATGTAAATTATGGCGTATATATTATTACTTCTAATACATAGTAAAAGCAAGAATGTGTTACTTCAATTAATGTACTGTTCAAAATTCTAATTGTTTATTCACGTTCTACAATATCATGTTATTTTTTGACGGCTAAATGTTGTGCAATGTCAAAACAATAGAAATATTGAGCCAGGAAAAATATCCTGTCTTTCTCAATTTTTTCTAAAATAGCCCAACTYGTATAGCCCAACCAAAATATGCAAAATTCTGTAAAAGACTTAAATAAATTTGACCTAAAAGGTCATGTAATAAACAGCGTTGATAACAATTTTTTTACATGTTTGTTGTAAAATAAGAAAGATTAGTTTATCTGTCTATCTTAAATCAGCTCTCAACTGTATGTAATCAGTCACAAATCATCTTGTAGCATAACTGGGAAACAAGATTTAAGAGCATATTGGTTCATAAGTCCAGTTTGTGTTGGATTTGTCTTATTTAGAAATCTGTTTATTTCCAAGTATTCATTGAAACATACTGGAATGGTCCATGGCTGTAATGTTCGCTTGGAGAATTTTATCTTCTCGTGTTGAAAATCTCTCACTCATCATGAGATTTATATCAAGTGCTCAAGTTAATTACTAGTTTGCTTTTACCTTTTGAATGAGAAATAACTCTTTGAGTATAGTATCAATTACTAGTATCAATCTTAACAATTATGTCTCCAAGATAATCATGCACCGCACGTTAAATAAACAGATTGTAATTGCATACGAAATGCATGGATCACGGAAATCAAGCAACGGAAAAGCACTTTAAAATCAAAGAAAGCTGTGTTCGCAAGTGGCGATCAAAAAGAGAAAGGTTTATTTTCTGTCTTTTTTTTTCCTCAAAAACGTTCCTAAAACTCGGGGTGCGGCTTATCTACGAGAGCGGCTTATACATGGGTAAATACGGCATCCTCTATTTATCAATGGATTTTTTGTTAATAGGTTAATTTCTGTTTTTATGCAGGGAAGCATCATGCCAAAACTTTTTCTTCCTCCACTGACACTGCCTCCTGCTTTACCACCAAAGATCATTTCATCTTGCAGTGGAACTCCAGGTACATGTAATTGTATATGTCAGCTGTTCTAAAATCAGGTTCTGAATACTATAAAATGTTTTGGTTCATATTTCTAGGCTCATCAAGTGCTTTTGATGTCTCCGATGAACAGAAAAGATGGCTTGTGGTGGGAATTTGTCTTCATAAGATCTTACTGCCTCAGTTACGAAAGTTCCTCAAACCTGAAATTCAGAAGCATTATAACAATTTGAAAACAAGTCACAACATTGACAAACAGACATTTTCCAAACACCTGGATAAAGATCATGGAATGAGCCTAGATTATGGCAGCATAAATAACAATGAGAAAAACCACAGAAAGAAAATCAAAATGTATGACTACAATGTGAAAAGTACTGTTGATTTGGGCAAGCTGTATTTGAAGCCTTACATGGCAATGTTTACTGGTRGGTACCAATTTGTTCATTGTCAGTCTTATGGACAACAATGTAGAGTGCACTCTAAATTACGCTAATTCCTTTATTTCTATTGCTACAGTGTACCATGTACTTTAACGATATCCTGAGTAATATATGGGTAGGGGATATAGTTATGCCGACACTTTTTTATTTACAGCGTTTGATGACACCTGTGACTTATCGGCAGCTCTTGGGATAATTTCCTCTGCAAGTGTGTTTTCCTTACCAGTTCAAAAGCTAGCACAGGATGTGAAAAAGGAAGTAAGAAACGAGTGGGGTCATTGCAACTTCACGGTGTGGACTGAACTTAAGTTTGCTAACAGTTTTCGATTGATGGACTCATTTCTTCGAGCTCTATCTTTGACACCTCTAGAAGAAAAACGACTAACTGATGATCTTGGAGACTGGGAAACTAAAGGTGCGACACTTTTATATMTGTACTAATGTGTGTTTATTTGTATAAATGACATCTGCGCGCCAATTTTGTGGACTCAGTCCTAACTTTCATTCATTCTTAGTTTTGAACAGAGTTGTATAATCATGCTCAACAATTGGTGTCTAGGATAAAGTTAGAGGCAGTGGCAATAACCTAAACATCCTTGGTGTTACATGTATATACACGATGTGCAAATTTAGACGGACAGAAATATAAAGGTTTCGAGGGTATCAAATTTAAATTAAGAGATCGTTCTCTGGCTCGTTGTAAAGAACGATTATATACCGAAAAAAAGGAATCTAACAGACCACGAGCTCGAGTGGAGAGCGAGTTGATCAAGTCCGTGAACGAACCAAACTACGAAATACAATATATGTAACGAGTGGTTGTTCACGGAACTATCGATGTGTAAACACAAGGTTCTGTTTTTAATTTGCGAATCACTATGCATACTGTAATAGTTCGAATTCTTTTCCYGAAATATCGTGTAATTATTAACAAACTTTATCTTTAAAGGTTTGCAAATTTGCTTGGGGCACATTGTAGATGAAGACCTTGTAAAGCTGATGGAACAAGAAGTTTACAAGCTGTCACAAGATATTAAGCTTGTCGAGAAAAGCCACCAAGAAGAAGCAAAAAAAGTCGTTGAAACCTTAAATAGTGTGAAGGATTCAATCAACAAATTCAAAGAAGAAATAACCAAGGAAGTGGAATCAATTCACCAATCGCATGAAATGCTGAGCGAAAAGATCGATGAAATTAGCGGAAATACCTCGGAGATTTCTGTAGACATAAAGAACTTGCAGAAAGGTCAAGAGAAACTCGATGCTGATTTCGACAGTATGAARGATTCTCAAGAAAAGCTAAGTAAACGAGTAGATCAAGTGCAAGAAAATCATGAAAACCTGGATAAACAAGTTCAAGCTCTTAAAGTCGCCATAAATGATAAGAATTCCACGACATTCGATGATACCTTTCAAGCACCAAATCGCATTCCCTATTTCTGTGGTCGTGTGAAAGAACTCGATTTTCTTGAAATACCGCTAAAGACCAAAGGCCCGCCAAGTGTTATATCTGCCGTATGTGGTCTTGGCGGAACTGGCAAAACCTCACTGGCTATTGAACATGTATGGAAAAACAAAGACATTTACAAGWGTGGTGTTTTCTGGCTGTCAGGTGAAAGTGTAAGTCAGTTTCAGAACACCTTAAGTGAAATGGCGAGACAAGTTGGAACATTTGATGATGATTTCAAGACAACGTTGTCGAAAACGTTACATTGGCTGCAGACCAGACAAGACAGTTGGTGTGTTGTTATCGATAATCTTGATGAATACGACTTTCAACATTCCATTGATATGATGAAATTCTTGTGTGGACATTGGAAACGAAGTGCTGCTGGACACATCATTATCACCACTAGACGAGATGCGAGACAGTTACATAGCGACATTCCAGAAGTGTCAAGTRACAATTGCATCGAATTAACAAACCTCACAGAGCAAGAAAGCGTGCAGTTTCTCGTAATGAAAACCCAAATCACAACCGACAGTGACAACATTGCGCTGATGAAAGATCTGGTTGCACAGCTAGGATATCTCCCKTTGGCTCTTGATCAAGCGGCAGCTTATATCAAGAATACAGGGGTTCAATTGTCAGTCTACTTAGAAGAGTATAGGAAACAAAAACTTAAGATACTGAAGAGATTCAAAGCTCATTATCCTGCACAAGACACTTCCACGGAACGAATAGCTGTCCACACAACCTGGCAGTTGAATTTTGATTATGTCGACCGTCTSTCCGATGATTACGGTATTGGGAAAGCAGCATCCTTAGTCATGGAGGTGTCTGCTTTCTTGTCACCTGATGACATTCCTTATGAGATCATTAACGAAGGACTACCGCAAATAAATCACGAAGATCTACATGACTGCCTYTCTTCCCCATTGGGTGTCACTGACATTGTTAGTGTTTTAACTAAGTTTTCATTGTTCCAAAGGTTTACCGACACATCTCTGAGTGTGCATCGCCTCGTTCAAGAAGTGGTAAGAAGCAAGATATCGAAGAATGACGCAAAAAGAGTCCTTACGTGTGCATCGAGAATGCTTCAACATGCATTTTCTAATACCAACTCACCGCAAAGCATCTGTAAAAGTTTTCAAGGAGATTCAGTTTTTGTACAGGATGACCCTCCATCCCTTTATCTCTGGGGAAAGCTTGGCGCTAATGCCAGCGTTTTGCAAAATCACTTGTTTGAAGCATATCATCAAGACGAATCGCTGGGTCAAGATTTGATTTTCACTAAAGAAACGGCTTATCTTCTAAATGAAGCATCATTGTACCTCAGTGCGTGCAGACAAAAAGCAAAATCYCTGGAACTGCAAACTGCAAAACTAAAAATCTTGAATAAACTTGAGGCGCCTGAAGAAGATTTGTCTTCTCTCCAATATTTCCATATTCCGCTTAAGGATGTCGAGTTCAAGCTTATATCTCACTGTTTGGGACATAAAGAAAAACTGCCACTGCCAGAAACCAAAGATCAACAAACGAATGAGAGCATGCAAAAAAAAGCAGATGAGTGGAGAGAAAAAGGGAATTCAAAATACAAAGATCAAAACTATCAGGAGGCGATTGACTGTTATACTATGGCATTAAAGTTCTTCAACAACGACTATCGAGCACTCTGCAATCGAGCTTTGTGTTTTCTGAAAACAAACGAAGAAGCTAAGGCCCTTGACGACTGCGAAAGCTGTTTGAAACTCGAGAAGAATTACGTAAAAGCTTTGCAACGCAAGGCGTGGGCATTGTTCGAGCTCTCAAAAAAGCAGACATGGATGAAAGGAAAAGCAACTGCCGCAGCTGCTGTTGCTGCGTATGTAGATCCAACATCTTTGAAGGACCAATCTTTCCAACGAATGTTCCCAGGTTTAACTTTCTCAAAAATCCTCAACCCTTCGCAGCTAATTGGGCATTTTTTGTACTTAGTCCCAAACCAAACACTTCTGCTTCATAAAGGCTGTTATGATTTGGAGGGATTTATGRTCGACGAAGACATTCAGCTTGTTGCTATTGATGACGAAGTCACAATGAAGTTTAAAGAGACGTTCAAAATCTTTGGTTGTAATATTTACATGGAAGGCATATCTTTTCCCAGAGGAGGTGGAGCGATCGTTTGTTTGCTTGGAAGCTCGGTCACAATATTCAAGTGCCGYATCTCAAACGGGTTGTCGGGATGCGAAAACTTTCCAGAGTGCAATGGTGGGACTGGATGCAAAGCTGCTTTGTATCCTGCACGAGAAGCATGCAATCGCACAGGTAAATTTGGAGAACCGACCGTGTCTGGTGTCCCTGGCTATGCTGGAGTGCAAGTGCTTGATCACAGTTTTGGATATTTTGAGAATTGTGACGTTGAAAGATGTGGAGGAGGAGGAATCCTTTGCCAAGGCAGAGGATCGAAGATTAATATAAAGTCGTGTAAAGTCCATCGAAACCTTCAAGCTGGATTGGAAGCAAGAGAGGGGGGCTGTTTGGAGGCCATTGATAATGATATCTATTCTAATGGATACCATGGAATATTAATTGGTCCTTCTGCTGGATCTTGCAAAATTGTGAACAACAGGATTTATGAAAATTGCAAAGAAGGAATCCTTGTAACTGAAACACCGAAAGAGRAGGTTGTAATTTTAAAAAATCAGATTTTTCACAACCTGCCTTTTGGAATTTCTCTGCAGCATTGTCTAGTGCAAATCCAGCAAAATGACATTTTCGAAAACGGTTTTTATGGTATCCATGCAAAGRTTTTAACCACAGCAACTGTAGAAMACAATGACATTTATAGTAACAAATGTGGAGGTATTCATATGGGGATCAATTTTTCTGGTCGTATTATTCTCGCATCTAACAAAGTACGRGACCACAGTGGCCMATGTTTGGTAACACAAAAATTCGACAATTCYYTTTGTAGAACTGATAAATTCCAAACGATCGCGAAGAGCTGTCCATATTTATTTCTACCGCAGGGTGAATCAAAGTTTTACTCAAATCCCCCGATTCTCAAAGACAATGAGTTTAGGAACAACGAAGAAGAGATTTTCCACCATCCAAGAGAAAAGATTAAGAAACTAGTAGAAACTGAATGTGCTTTCTGTTGCAGTACAAAAAACAATCTTCTGAAGTGCTCCAGGTGCAACATAGCGTCGTATTGTAGCATTTCCTGCCAAGAGAACCACTGGGAAAAGCACAAAAGATTGTGCTCTGCGGTCTCAGAGAAGTATTTTGTATTGGTTGATTTCAACCCGTTTCATGGAGTGCRCAGGACATTTGGCCCACACCTTAAGGGGATTGGGAAGGGCATCAAGCCAGATCCTAAGAGTAAGAGGAGATTCATTGTCAAAGTCCAAACTAGGCATCTCAATTGTCATCCCCTTCAAGTCATGACCTTATATGACCAAACTACAAGCATTGATGGCCAAATTCAAAGCCCAGACATTTTTCATGTTATAATGGAATGTGGTGTAATAGGGAAATTCTCTGAATTTACAAGCAAGAAGGCTTTCTTCTACACAACCTTTGAAAATCAAAGCAGGAGAAAATTAAGAATTGACTTAGCAGAACTAGCTCCCTATCAAGAATGGTAAATGATAAACGGGTTATTTGCCGTGACTTGGTGATTTCATCGGCGTATAAGAGAAATTCTGTCGTTGTGACGTAATCATGTCGTCACTACAAGCTTTGACACTTAATCCACTTAAAATCTTTTAAAAATTCGACTGAACTTTCAAAGCGAGTTATACCGATAACAAGCTCCAAAGACTAACTCTCTTGTTTATTCTTATTTTTTCGGTTGTGACTTTTAAAGGGGAATATTTTAATAAAAAAAAGCATTTAGGTTTTAAAGGATTAGGATAATTTTCCTTCGACGTACGCCCTAGTTGGTCAGAAAACATTGTCATCAGCAATTATAGCTAATTGAGTGTAAGATATGCAATTAAAATTGCTATCCGATGATTGTGTGAGATAATCATCTTGCTATATAAGATTTAAAGGTCAAAAAAGTTTGAGCAAGTTTGTTATAAAAGGGKTTACGTTTCAAGATCATTTTAAGAATATTTATGACAAAATGTTACCTGATTTGGGTATGAATATACCAACAAATACCGGTGGTCTCTGTACGATTTGATTTTTTGGGTGTTGGGGAGGGGGGGGGGTGTGAAGTTCAGATGAAGTGACAGTGGTTTTACAAGCAATGTTCTATGATACTGAACATGAAGTGAAAGTCTAAGAAGGATATTTGGTGGTTGGACGGGTAAGATCTAACTTTTATTTGAAACTGATCACAAAACTCATCAAAGCAGTAACCAGTGATATGATTTTATAACTTGTTCGTTTCGTAGGCAMTTAGACATTCTCAAAGTTACGGCAACTTATACTCCGGGACCGGGACTCAAAAGTTGGTCAAAGATTTGCTTCATATTTTGAGCGGTTTTGTGCAAAATTTGCTAAAAAGGCACATTGATGGTCCGTGTTATAACACTTTGGGCCCAGGAATAGTCCTGCACTATATAAAWTAGTATAAATAGCTGTTGCAGCCGTTATGAAGCTGGGTKTGTGCCGCTGGGACTTCAAAACCCTGACCCTGTTCCAGAGTGAATTCCAAAGTGAAATCACTGAAAATCATACCCTGTTTGGTCAGTAGCCCATTACGCTTCCTGATTGGCTATTTTGCGCTAAATGAGCAATTCTAAAAATAGCACCAAAAGGGTTAAATCCGTTCAAAGTTAGTAGAGTAAAAAAGGCTCCTAATAATGGGCTCCTGGTTTGGTTAGTAACATTAAATGATGTTGTAAAACTCATGAATAATTAATGTGGAAAACAATAGAAATCACAACCGTGAAGAATGTTTAATATTTGATACAAAAACTGTCTTAATTTGCACAAACTTCAAATCTAATTTTCTCAGGCAAATTCAATTTTTCTTTAAGTTTTTAGTAGATTATGCATGCATAAACGTTTCACATTGTAAAATCCCTTAAAAAACTCATACATAATTAATGAGCTACTAGGCCAATAGAATGAGCCTATTTGGTCACATGCATGGACCTTTATATCTGATAAAACACTCCTTATTAGTATTCTTTATATAAAGAATACTAATAAGGGTGACCTTTATCAGATATAAAGGTCCATGACCCTAGCAAAGGTCTCAGGTTTGAAACCTGATCATTGACCAATGCAGGATGTCAACCGATTTCAGTGAACAGCCAAGAGCGVTTCTATTTTACTTTATGCGTATTCAATGTGGGATGACAAGAGTGCTTTGTAAAGTGATTCGCGCATGATCAGTTTGTCCCATTTATCTCTGAACATATTTGTACGGCAATTTCTCCAAGAAATTTAACGGATTTGAGTTTCAAATTAGCGTTGGAGTTTTTTAAGCCGTTTAAAACACGAGAGAGAGTGTTTTATCAGGTATAAAGATTCGAGCCGAACCTGATAAAACACTCTCTCTCGTGTTTTAAACTATACATACAACACGGCCGCTCATGTTACTTAATCCACTTTGAATGATTTATTCCTAGGATGTATTGTATTAATTACCCGTACTGATGATTTCGAAAATAAGTACCTTGTTCCAAAGTAAAATATGAGCTGAAAAACATACCCAGCTTGGCAGCACGTATAGCAAACAGAAGGGGTTCCTCCCGCCCCCCCGGTACCCGGACCCAGGCAATGTCGATTGATCAAAGAAATAGGCGGATCATCGCAATGAGCCCTTGTGTATTAGCCATTTCGGAGGTATGAAATGAATTGTRATTTCTGTCATATTGAGCCAATCGAAAAACTAACCATATCACTTATAATATATTAAAAGACTTTATCGACTTTAGTGCAGGTTCCAAGTTACAGATCATTTGGACAAATATTCGATTAATGAGAAGCCGTGCAATTTACAGAGAATGTATGGGGATTTTSACCGCGTCACCCAAAACAATACATTCTCTGTTAATTTGATGAAACTAGGAATAAATACTGTTCAGCTAGTTTTTATCCAAACCTTTTGAAACTTGGTATATTTACTAATTTTTGGGTGTCATTTCATGAGGTGGGGTTTGTTTCGTGATTAGATCAATATTTCTTTGATTAGTGCCCAGTCCCCCTGTGCAACTCCGAAATGGCTGATTGTGCTCTACACACCACAGTAGCAATGGAGGGATGTAAAAGAMCCCACCTAAGAGTATTGTACGGAGATCCCGATAGTCTGGTCAGAACTATTTGTTCACTAGGTAAACCCGCACGCATGATGCACAACAGACCTAAGTGCCAAAAGAATGGGAGAATCGGGGAGGCGGGAAGGTCTTGGTCGCACACCCGACATTGGGCGTTTTAACCAATTTCATTGCATTGTTAACATAAGGAACAGGGGTTTGAGATTACGTAGTAATGTATAACGTGTTTGGAAATTAAATTGAGCTATTTTGTGTGCATTTCCCAAGTGAAATAACAAAGACTGTGATTTGGTGAAATGACAAAGAAAGACAGGCAATACAAGTTTCGTTCTAAAGGGCGACCCACATGTATAGTACACAATGCAATTCATGTAAAAATTAATACAGTTGGCTTTATTTTAAAATACCATAAAAACAATAAAAATACTAACGCATCGATCATTGTCTACAATGGCAGCCATCTTGAATTGGTAACCATGCCAAACGCCTTKATTTGAAGCAGCTCGACYGGKCTTTTTCAAGATGGCAGCCATATTCAAGTTTTAGCTAGATTGTCTATTTACTTATCTCTTRATAAGAGAAGAAATAATTTTATAGATATAAGTCAATTTAATATATTGTGGATAAATAGTCGTGATGATTTTCATCACGMAGGAGTCATGCAAACTTTCTTGGTCATGTTCTATACATAGTGATTGGTTGGTTATTTTTCTGTGTAGTGCAGATTACTTAATTCAAAAGAATTGAAAGGCTCAAAACAGAGGAATACGGAAGTCGTGAGCAATCCYCCGAGGAGAACGAACCATGGGGCTACAAATCAGTTCCAGGGGAAATTATKAACAAAGCGTAAGCAGCCACGTTGGTGTGCATATCAAAATAGATTTCTGAAGATTTTACTGTCACTTACGTGAATTGCAATGCATTGTGGGATCAGTTTCTGGAGAAAACAAAAGAGATCCACCATTTTTGATGCCCAAAGCAGACATCCTGCAATGCATTGCAAGCTTCATAGGTCTATGGAAGCTAATAAGAAATATTTTGTTTGCTGCACATCAATTCGGATGCTTTGGTGTTCGTAAAGGAATGGATTGTGGTGGACACMAAAAATACCTCATTACTAATGATCTTAAGCCCGACAAAATTAGAAATGTTCGAGTATGACAGCAGTGCMATCTAACCCTGTAGCTTATTCAAACACAACCCTAGCTGATCAACAGACCTCAGATAGAAGACAGAAAGTAAATATTGAATAATACAAACGACAAAATGTTGCATTTCGTGGAGCAGTATTGGATGATCCTCATATTTCTCCTYTGGTCGKTKCTTGAGACTTATCTTTCTACTCAATAATTTCAAAATTTCCAAAATTAAAAATTGCGTTGATAAGCACATTATCTGTTTCAACTGTTTCTAATCGTTTGAATAGTTTCTTTCAGCGTTGCGTGACGGAGATATTGCTCGGTGTGTGACTAACATTGGCTATACATGTACTTAGGTTCTGTTTASCGTTTTCTAACAAGTCTGTAGAATATTTATTCTGCGCGATTCGCCAGCCTTTCAAAACTTCGGACACTCTATCTACAGGAATAAGAAAAATATATATGTACTTTCCATATGATGAACACTTCATATGACAGCTACATGACGGACAAGGCTTTGATAGACAGGACGCTAATTGTACAGAAACAGCGAAAACATTTTGAATAGAAAGCTGTGGTATGTCAACTTGGGTCTATTTGGAAAGATACTTCAAGAGGTTATTCAAAGCTTGATTAGTTTGATATTCAAAGCTTGATTAGTTTGATATTCAACCTGGACTACATGAACAGAACCTTGATCAATCATCTCAATGCTATGACAACTAGAACCCATTGATCAGGTTGGGCAACTAATTCTTGACTTGCAAAACATCAGAGTGGTTTTCATCAGACTCTGGAGCAATTGTTACTATTGGTCTGCGTTTACTATATTAGGTCTCTGATAGTGTTTTTTTTTAGGTTCTACAAAACTATGGTCTATCACAAATCCTGCATTGTGATTGGCTATTGAACTATGGTYTATTCATGAGACCCCGGTCGCATCGATAAAACGAAAATAGTGAAAACAATGTTGAGAAAAATTGTTCTTTATGGTCTTTTGTCAAATTTGCTCTATAGTTTGGTGGATAGTAAAACGAACGGCCTTATCTAGGACTAGTAGTCAGTCACGAGACCGAGGGGCAGSATTAGTAACTATTTAACAGTTGRATGAAAACCACTCCGCATTAGCCACATTAAGAGTCAATTTCGTATGAGTGGGAAACGTACGATAGAAATTACCGCACGGTTACCGCACAGTTACCGGACCTGGCCTGCATAATTTTTGTGAAGCAATGAGAAACTAGAATGTGGTTATAGTACGATTACGGTTACAGTACATTACCGTCCGTTTCCCACTCATACAAATTTGACTCTATTCGTCTTGGTAGGTTGTAGTAAAGTTTGGAGAAAACCACGTTACAAAGTACGTGGACAAATCTTCCATGTACACTTGGACAGGACGGATAACTACATTCACGCATAAGTTCAACCAATCATTTCTTAAAATTGCATCTCAGTTCAAACCTGTTGTGCGGTAGTCAGTGGAAACGACCTCATATGTCGCGCTCTACCATGATAATAAAAATACTATATGTGCGTGTCTATTGAAWGGCGTGATAGTAGTATAATCTACTATGATTCATTTTGATTAGAAGTCCTTATCCCAGCCCGTGTTGTCATTGGGTGGTACTTCATCGTCTGGTGGATAGTCGTCGAAGTTCGAGGCATCTGTTGGATTTTTGATCTGTAATGATACCAAACAGTAAATCAATCAACTAACAACTAAACAAGTCTGAATTAAAAGTACTGCTTTAAAAAGTCAACGGCATCCAAGAACGTAACCTTGCGCGAAATTTGTCATCTTTCTGAACCAATCAAAAATCAACTTAAAGAGATCCTTTCGTAAAACAAAAGATTGAAGCGATCGAAGAGGATCTTGGATCTTCAGTTCAACAAATAAAATAAATAAATAAATAAATAAATAAATAAATAAATAAATAAATAAATAAATAAATAAATAAATAAATAAATAAATAAATAAAATAAAGTCTTTTATTTTGAGAGGGTAGCACGTAATAGTCTCTAGACTGATAAACTTGTGGCCCTCTATATATTCACTCGTACTCAATACCTCAACATTCATTATTTTACTACACGACACTCCTCTTGCTTGTAGCTTCAATGGAATCGGAGAACTGTGGCAGGAGTGGGAGCCTTTTCTAGACAGTTTTAGCGCAGTGTAATGGTGAACTTGATATATTAACTAAGGCTAACAAGGCATAACAGCCTAATCACAAACAAAGTATTGCTCCATCATCGAAATAGCAGAGTCCTACCTTAGGAACAATAGGTGGATTTAACTTTCGGTGTCTGAGACCTTCCCAGTTGAAACCATCAAACCACCTAAYAAAACGATATCAACAGTTATAGCGGCCTAATATAATACATGTATATCAATCTATCTCTCTTATACAATCTCCTGTTGGGCTTCCTGTCCTGAAAAAAGGAATGGCTGCACAGGCTGTCTCATTCATTTGTACTTCCACGCTATTCTTACGAAGTTGCATCTATTTGAGGTAGGTTAAAATTTGACTTGACTTCAATACAACTATGTGGGTTAAAATGCAATAGAGTATCAAATATAAGACAAAATTTAATTGACTTTTACGTGTTATAAGCTTAAGTCCGTTTAGAGAATGCGACTCACTTGTTTTTCATGATGTCCTTGAGTCCACCCTTCTGGTAACCAAGGCGCTCGACTGGATTGTCACTACAAAAATATGTAAATTGGTCACTTTACGGCATAGAGRTACGTCTAGTTGTGTAGTACTCGCTTTGATATAAGGCAAAATTTGTTAAATACTGTTGGGAAACTAACTAGAGGGCARCGAGCTACAAGAATCTTGCTAATACAGTGCACATGACACCATTAGAAATTCATTCTCATCCAATAGAGAAAATGCTGCTAAAGTTACATCTGTGAAAAAAGAAATTGATTTTAAATTGTATTTTCTAAGTTATGGGCAATTGAAAATTAGAAGATGCAAATGAAGTGACGTCTACTAAGGAAGGATTAATATACAATATCATGAAAGAGGACGTTATTATTTTTGTTACATTGAAAAAAAGCATTTTCAGCTCTCAATTATTACTATGATTGATGATTTGAGCTCTTCAACAAAGAACAACATAACACAAACAATGTAAAACGTCTGGACCAATTCCTTACTTGACGTCACTTCATTTGCATTTTCAATTGTCAAATGTCTATAACTCAGAAAATATTCAAAATCAATTTCTTCTTTCACAGAAATGTTTGGCAGCGTGTTACCCTTCGGATAAAAGTGATTTTCTAAAAGGTGTCATGTGCACTTTAAGTCTTAAACCTTAGCCCAAGCTTAACTTAAGAATAAGCTTAAACAAGTTTAGAATATCAACAAATTATACAGCAGCTACTACAAACTTATCAAAGTAGACTATTTTAAAAGTAAGTCAAGATAATATGTCGGTCATGTTTAAATCGTTTTGTTGCTAGCAAGTTTTATTTATCAAGCGTCCGTCATTACATACCGACAGAGCTTCTTGATGAGAGCATGGGCATTTCTTGTTATTTTGCGTGGAAAATCAATCATATCTATTCCTTTCAAGATGATATTATAGGTCTTCATAGGATCAGATCCTGTGAACGGAGGACTGCAACAAAAAATGACAATCAATGTCTTCTAATACATCTATAATACAATCTGTTCAGAGCAAGATGCATGCAGTCAGTCTATTAAAAACCAACAGAATACAAGCTAGAAGTATCTCCTCTCAATTTCATTATTAATACTTCATCATTAATACTTCATCATTACCGAAAAAAATAACAATTCTGGAATAGGATAAGGGATGCTTGTACCACAATACTGATGATTATAACAAAACCATCCCATAGTCTACTGGGAATATTTTGGTTGACTTATAAGAAATGGAAATAAGAGGAGAAACAATAGATAGATGTTTTGTTCCCCCAGACCATCATATCCAATTCTTTTGTGTATGACCAACTAGAATATCGAAAATGAGCTTCCTTTAATTTCCATTACTAATAGTTTTATATGGCCAAATATTATTTAAAGTACATAGCTGCTAATTATTAATGTAGTCATCATGTACCTTCCWGTAAGAAGCTCATACATCAAAATACCTAGTGACCAGTAGTCTGCTGAGAGATCATGTCCCTATAAACAAACAATTGATCATCATATACTTGATATATCAACAATAGCGACAAGTATTCACACACATGAAGGAATGGAATTTCATTTAAAAAAATGTAAAAGAAAAACACGAAACATTTTGTTGTAACAAGGTCTAATATTACTTTCAGTCATATTCACCTTATTAAGAATGATCTCTGGCGCTACATATTCTGGTGTACCACAAAACGTCCAGGTCTTGCGACCAAAACCAATCTTCTTAGCAAACCCAAAATCAACCTGTATATAAACAAATCATCGAAGAAAAATGAGGCACAATGTTTTATATTTGTCTGACAGAGTACTAAATTCACTCACCAACTTACAGTAGCCCTTAGCATCTAGTAGAAGATTTTCTGGCTGCAAATAGAAACAAAAACATTGAGAATTGATTGAATGGTGCAAAAAGCTTGAAGATAGTAAACATGGTTACCTTAAGATCTCTGTACACTATTCCCTTTGCATGCAAATAGTGAAAAGCTTCTATTACACAACTAACATAGAATCTAGTGGTAGAGTCATCAAATGATCCCCTGACAAAAAAAAGAACATTGTTAGTGAGGCTGACAGGATTGAGTAGTGTAGTCAAAGATATGTTGCAATAAAAGACAATTTGCTTCTACAAATAAAAATAAAATTCTTTAATAAAATTCTGGATCCACCCCTGACATACATTTTATATAATCAATAACCATATACAAACTGTAATTACATCTAAATTGAATATTTATAATAGTAGCACCTCACATGTACAGCAAAAACCCTTGCTTGCCAGATATTTTTGTTAATTAACAGATATTATTTAATATTACACGAATTCCTTTCACTAATGAMATTTTGTATTCAAATAGGCCAAATGAGGTTGGATTGATTCGTTGAAACTTTGTCATATTTTGCAGAAAAAACAAGTCCTAACAAACTTTGAGGTTTAAATGCAAGTTAGTGGGTTTATGCTTATAGTGAGGGAGTTGACCATAACATGACAATTTAAGGTGTTGATACCATATAATATTCAGACATACATGTACATATTTACAAATCCTGAAAGACATGATGTAGTCAGCAGTGGAATACAAATCTTACTTGTCACGAAGAATTGTCCATAGTTCTCCTCCTAAACATGCTTCTAATAACATATACAAATACTTGCTATCCTTAAACGTCTTATGCAACCTAAAATACAATCAATGATTTAATAATATTGAAATAATTATCTGAGTAATGCACATTAAATCTATTATTAACCCATCAAAAATCTTTCTTTACCATCCACTTGATAATAAAAATAATTACAATCAAGTCTCTAAAGGGAGCATGAAATGGTATTTAGTACCTAACTATGAAACCAGAATTAGATTCCATCATAATCTTCTTTTCTGACATGATATGGTCTTGCTGTCTAGTTTCAACTATATGGTGCTTTTTCAAGGTCTTTAGAGCAAATGTTCTCTTGTCGCCAGCAAGCTGAACCTGCACATAACATAACAATAAGATATAAGATATATAAACTAAAGCCTAAATCAATAGTGACAAATATTAGATTATAATAGAAATTGAATTTTGTTACACATTGTAYTTTATGTAAACTAGCTATGACACCTGACACAATAATTGCTGATGCTAAAAGTAAGTTGAATCTTATATAAAGTAAATGGTGAAATATTCCTTCATTTCAATGGTGCATCTTTGATGCAAATAGATTGAGTTCTGTCAAATCAGCAGTAATAAAACCACTACATGTACTTCTTACCAGTTCTACTCGACCAAATCCTCCGACACCTAAAGTCTTGATAAGTGTTAAGTCTTCTAGCCTGACATTGGCAAATTCCTCTTCCTTCTCTCTTAGTCGACTAGCAATGGTAATACAGTTGTATTAGTTTCGATTTGTTTAAAAAACCTTTTAGCAAACCTTGTTTACCTTGCAGTAGTTGGATCAACTCCTCGTTGGGAGTCATCATACTTGTCCTTTTGAATTTCATCTAAACTACCAATAAACTGACTGAAGGCCCTGTCATAAAACAATTAACAAATAAGAACTACCAATAAACTGACTGAAGGCCCTGTGATAAAACAATTAACAAATAAGATTATTAAGCAACATATTTGAACATTGTAAAATTTAGCAGAGAAACTACCAATGAATATGGCCATTGATTTTTTATTTCACAAATCATTTAGAACATATATCAGCCCACTAAAGCTTGTTAATACTCAACCAATAGACTACTTGAATCGAGGGCATTATGCTGGGATAGTAGCCTAAAGAACCAATAGACTACTTGAATCAAGGGCATTATGCTGGGATAGTAGCCTAAAGAATCAATAGACTACTTGAATTGAGGGCATTATGCTGGGATAGTAGCCTAAAGAACCAATAGACTACTTGAATCAAGGGCATTATGCTGGGATAGTAGCCTAAAGAATCAATAGACTACTTGAATTGAGGGCATTATGCTGGGATAGTAGCCTAAAGAACCAATAGACTACTTGAATCAAGGGTATTATGCTGGGATAGTAGCCTAAAGAATATGGGTGTTAATTACCATTGGTAACTATCACAACACAATGCCAGAAATTATAACTGCTATTTTTTTATTACTTGACAACAAAATTTACTGAAGTATAATATAAAACAAAATGATGACTATGTTTAGATTAAAACAATGAATATTGTATTACTGCCATGGATACTTACTCTCTATCTAGAACAAGACAGGTTGTTCCACTCTTACCAGCAATGCAATTGGCTGTGCGAAGATCCTCCCTAAAATACAAAGAGTGTTTTCTTTAATAGTCATTCCCACTCACTCCAAGTGTTTTCTGACTTTCTTTCTTAAACTTGGTCTGATATTCTCAAAATATTTATCCAGCTGAAAATACCCTGACTTATTGTCTGCAAGAATTCACTTCAAGCAAACAGCAAGGAGGTAGACATTTGGTGTTTTGCATATCATCTGCACATGATTTCAAAATGTCTCGCAAGAGCAATGTCCAACATGTAATTCCCTTGCAAACTGACAATGTTGTATTTGAGAATAGATGTTAAATCCATTCCATACTGCTTGGTCCAAAGATTTAAGGGACTTATTCAGTACAACAAAATGATGCAATCTTACCCTTTAAGAGCTTTCTCACCAAAATAATTTCCTTTGCCAAGTGACCTTACAAAGACAGGATCAGAGTGTACTGACGTTCTTTGGGTGATGTCAACTTTGCCTTTCTTGATAATAAAGAAGGTGTCTCCTCTTGCACCTTGTCTTATTATGAATTCACCTTCTTCATAGTATGCCTGTAGATCATCAAGACATGACACTTAATGACACAAAACTATRAAAACCTAAASGAYGGTTCTCACTAGTGCACAAGGCTTAGTAATACATATAGCACAGCAACAATGAACAAACGTGYATGTATTGCTTCTTCGATTAGATCGATGATCCATTCAATTTTTTTCTTCATTCAATGACTATTTTTAATTACCTCTTCAATGACATCAGCAATTTTAAGGAGATAAGACTCTGGTAAATCCTTCAGTAGCTGAACACTATATAAAAAACATTACAGTAGCTAAGTAACAATTTGCATGTATGACTTCTCAATAGACTTACTATACCATCACYAAAAAAAATATACTGTCTGATGAGTGCGTAGCATGAAACTCGGAGTTACAGCAAAATCTTGCCTCTTTGATATCATATGTATATATAACTAGCTCTACACTTTATGTGTATTGAGCACTCTTTAATGGGATCAGCCACTTCCTCATACGACCATCACCAAAAAATATATTTTTAATACTTAAATGTATTAATAATTTCTAATCATTTTCACTTCTGGATGAGTCATTTATGCCATCATAATTATTGTATGAAAGGACCCTTAAAAGTGATATTAACTGTCACCACCTTAACAACAATGATCTTATGTATCACTCCATTCATAATCATCATTACTAGCTATTGTATAGCAAACCTTTTTAAGAAGTCCATGTGCTCTGCCTGTCTCATTAAACCTGTCTTCATCATAATGGTCTGGAAGGTCTGTCGGTCRATGGCCCATAACTTGACTGATGTCTGGGCTGCATGAAAAGTTAATAAATTGGTTATAAATCATTAYAGTCAGCGACAATTAAATACTGTAYCATTACAGATARCAGTTTGCCTGTACAATACAGTATTTCCTATAGCTACAGCAAAATTATAATATTTCACAAAAATAAAGAATAAAATTAAACTAATATACTCACCTCTGACACTAGCCGTTCTTGTGCAGTTGTACAAGATTGCTAATTCTCCAAAGGCTTTCCCTGCACCCATATGGCCAAGCACWGATCCTTCTTTTGTGACTTGACATTTTCCCTCTTGGAAAATACAAAATAAAATAGTTAAAATCTCTAGCTTAATCATTCATGCTAGACGCTTTGAATGACAATCAGTTTACACTATGACTGTAATGTACAATTTAGACAGGCTGTCAGATGACGTCAGTAATGACACGTGATTTTTGATTAGGTATTTTAATTACACTGCATGATTAGTTGTATTGTAGTTGTTATAGCGTCGGTTTTATCGTCAATAAAGCAATTACCTTCTAAGACATATAAGTGAGAACCAGGGTCGCCTTCTTTAATTATGTATTCATCRCGTTTAAACTGTTTTTCATACATACACTCCACCACTTCTTTAATCTGTGATGATTCCAGGTTCTTRAGGAAATCGTTATCAAGTATTGCATCTTTAATAAGCTCTTTTGATCTGTAATTTTATCCAAAAAATACCAGTCATATTAGTACAGGACAGAAAAAAGAGGATTGTGTACCTACTGTACTCACTTCATTTCAATCACATTATATTGTGTGTGTTTGCAAACTGTATTTCATTATTTTATCATCTTAGTAAACTTTTCACAAAAGGGCATTATATAATATAAATAGAGTACAAACACTAAAAGTGTGCAACATAAATACCACTAAATACTGCTAAATTATGCTAATTTTATTGTTTTCTATTGTTTAATTAACACTATTTTGTAGTAAATAGTGGAAAGTATTGCACACATTAAATGTTTGTACTCTATTTAATACATGGAAAAACTTAATATTAAAATGTCTCAGTCTATATTTACATTACATACAGAAGACAGAAAAGTTTTTAAAGGACTACTTCTCCAGAACTTTAATATGGAGTACTACACATCCCTGTTGACTAGCTATACATGTAGCTAGAAAATAGCAGAACTGAGCTGATTACTGATTAGTTACTTTCTGTTTTCACTTGTATCAACTAATTAGGGTTAAAATTTATTTTATTAGCCTAAATAAATTTGAACAGTAATAAATTTATACAAGTGAAAACAGAAAATAATACATGTACTGTAAATATAGAAAGACATTTTAATGTTAGGTTTTTCATGTATTTAATATTTCTAACCTTATACATAGATTTACTGTGAGTAATTTTACAAGCACTTGAAAATACATCATTTGGCAGAACCTTAGATGTTTACTATAATTGCTAACTGACATTTAACTTTTGAGCCGMCTTTTGATTGGATCAATGTTAATAAAAACAGGTGTGTATAAAAAAATCATTAAAAAATGAATAAAACAAAATATGCATGATAACAAATTGAGGTTACTCAACATTAAATTATGTTATTGAACATAGCTACAACTAGAAAAAAAACACAGTCACACACAAAGGTAATGAAGCCAAGAATTGACAGACCAATGTCCTTGTTACTTGGTTTACTTTTTTTTACCTTTAGATTATTATTCACTCAACATGAATTTTCAGACTTGCAGCACACACCCACATCAGTTTTCAACTGGTGACTCATTCAATAACATCGGACTAACCAATGAGTATGCACCATGTCATAATATTAATATTTTCAATAATTAAAAGAGGTACTTATTAATAGTTTTGTACGACTGCTACAATTTTACAGTATTTGAAAATGTAAATAAATTTAAGTAGGTATATAAATGATATATTAAAACAATTAGTTCACAAATATTAAAATTATGTACTTCTAATAAACTTAAATCAAAGCACAAAATCTATGTTCCCTAATAACTCCTTTTCAGAAATGAGAATAATTATAATAAATAAATTGCTTATGAATAAAAACAAAACTTTCKATTACTCAGGCATTCATGAAAATATGTCAAGACAGCCATTCCATARTTTTCCATTCATTTTGCAAACTAATTATGTTATTCATGTTTTTACAATTGCTTACATTTAGATGACAAAATAWTTCTTCATATACTGTACTTGACATGTATAAAACAGAAAACAAAATCTAGAAAATACTTAAAGTTAATACAATATGGCATATAAAGCAATATGGCATATAAAGCTTAYGAAAATCGAGAAAATTAAGCTTGAGAGCAATTATTGTTCAGATTGGTTTTGACAGTGGATGGTAAAAAGTGCCTTGTAAATAAGGAAATGTAATTCAGTGAATTGCTGATTTAAAACATTAAAGATAGTAAAACAGGATTGAAGATTGACTGACAGGATTATCAGCCATCTATGAGAGTTGTGTATWATGACAAGATTTCAATATTATTGCACAAAGAATGTGCTAAGATACSAAGAATTCAGATACAMTGTACAAGTTGCCTCGAGGCAGATTAAACTATTGGCTCAACCAGATATAATACCTTGATTGCTTATTTGATTATGCTCTGAGCTAGAATGATTACTAACATGTGTGTGGGRTGTTTATCTATAATATATAACTAAACTTGAACTTTACTTTTAAGTACAAGAAAAAGAATTGGAATTTTACAATGTAATGCTGACCAATTGCAAATCAATTTAAATGTAAATTTATATATTMAAGTAAAAATTTGAACACTTGGAAAGTACATTAACTAAAGTAGCACTTAATTACTTTCTTATGAAATTGGAACATCTAGAGTTAAGAGTTTGGAATGATTTAACCTAGTAGACAAGATAACCATAGTTTTTCATAGATCATCTGCTCATTGAAAAACACAGGAAAACCAAATTCCAAACAGTCCAACCATTAATAATAGAAATGACAGGATTGTCATCAATGAYAAAAACATCCACAGTAACAGTCATACATTCTCACAACACTCCAATAACTCCACTATTGTGTCTGTTGCATGCATAATATCTAACCTCTAGAACCACAAGCTCCACAATAATTGGAASTCACACCTCCATTTCACACAAATTCATAAGATTAATTTTAAATTTAAGTCACAAAGATGGCTAAAAATGRTCCTGACTGCAATTAATCTAGCTCAAGTAGTCGATTTTATTTAATAATGGCTAAATGTCCGTCTTRGAATAATAAATAAACCAAAAAAGTTGTAAATRCCAAAATCATTCAGCAGTATTGGTTGATAGATATTGATGTTAAATATTCCAACTAATTTTCTTTCTTTATTCGTTATTTCTAACMTGTCTTTTTTCAATAYAAAATTTACATGACAGTATAATACTGACAATAATTAACATTAAATATTAAAAATAAGCAAAAATAATGAGGATATTATTACCTTGTTTTTCATAACTTTTTTGGAGCTAATAATTTTTTCTTAATTGATAGAAAAAAATTGCATTCCTTCAAAATAGTTAAATCTAATAGAAAAGCAAAATAATATCATTCCATTTTGACAAGCATTGAATAGAATACATCAAAATGCTACTTATGATTCATGCTCAGGATAACGTCATGTGACAAACATTATCATTTGATTTTGGTATTCAAAAGTGAACAAAAGATACATGTACACGAATAAAGACAGCATGTCAGTCAAATCAAACAAAACATGAACTAGAAACAGAAAGAAAAATCCAGATTTTTAACCAAATACAAATAACAAAAGAAATCTGACTATCCACTCTATTCCATCAGGATGTTTATACAATTCTTTATTGGCAMTAATAATAACAAAACATATGGCAAAAATGGTTTCCAAAAATTGTTTCTTTCCAATTCTAGTTACTACTGGTACTTGTAAGTACATACTCTGTGGTTTKATGATGTATAACAAGGCATTTCAGTGTAATATGGAATTAGTAAATCATTCATAAAATCCTTACCACAAATTAAGAGTTTCAACGAGTTATAAAATCAATGTATGGCTCAATATCAGTGTAAATTAGTCCAAAAACCCCAATATCTTGAAACTACAGTGTTATTAAGACTCACACCAGTTACAAAAAACAGAACTTTGACTTGAACACCCTTGGGATACAACTTATGGTCTTTAAAATACCATACAATATAGTTTTACATGTCGGGATGATTGAATAACCATGATTGATTTCAAAGTTTGAAAAGCACATTTTAAATATCACTGACATCAAATAATGTTTTGTGTAGAATGTAAAACAAAATGTAGGAGTTACATCTATGCATGATGCTGAAGCTACTCATCGACTTGGACCTTTTAAATTGCATTATTTTGTTAGAGCACCATCAAAAATAATTTGTCATAAAACAAAACAAATTCTYATTGAGTTGAGGTCATTTTTGCATAAAAGCATCAAACAATAACAATTCTTGTTTATTTGTGTGACAAACGTTAATACACCCATATATTTGAGTGTAAATACTTATTAAGCAGAGGATCAGTTTGACTCAAAAACTTCAATACCAAGGATTATAATTTGTTGATTATGCATATTCAAACCACCAATTCATTAAATGCTCTGGGTTTTTATTCCTTTTCCATCAATAATAGATCCACTGAAGTGATTTCAATTGTTTTCAATGCAAAAAGAAATATTAAGTCAGAATTGCTTTGTCAGTTTTTTGGCTGAAGGATTACTGCTATGTAAAAAAATGACAAAAGCTCTACACCACATTGAATAAACAATATACAAGTGCCCTTAATGTATTTTGGACAAGAACATAATACAAACATTATATCCTGAGCTTGACAGGTCTTGAAGACATTTTCTTTATATTTAGAAGAAAATCAAGCATGTTTGTTAAAAACGCTGGGACATCAGTCTGAAATCTGAAATTGAAACATGCAGAGAGGCTTTTTCTGCATAATCTGAATAAAGCCTATATTTTCAATTAATTCAACACTTGTGGATTGTAGCTTTAGAAGGCCAAATACCATACATGACAGTGACAATAACTGTTCCAGTACAATGACAATTCTCAAAATCGAGAGTAAGTCTGAGTTGGTTATTTTCGGTTGAATGTTTCGGTAAAAGCATTTGTAAACAATCCGTAATGACAATGCTTACTGATCCTGCCAAGATACAAATAGCACAGCAAGCAGACTATTCACCCGTAACAACATGTCAATTTTTACTTCAAGGCGAATTAGATGAGGTTGAAATTGTGACATTGCGACTTTATATAGCTGTATTCTAAACCTTGGATATCCTTTCCTAGTGATGAACGAAACTTAACGCGGCTAACATGTAAAAATAAAATAGTAATTTATTCTTGTCTCCAAGGTATTGTTCAAGACAACACTGAGCGCGGTTTTGTTTCTTGTTGGAGCAGAGACACAATTTACAATTAAAGAGCTTCTGAATCGACGAGCAGTGGATATACACAGCTGTTGATACACACAGTGATTTTAAACAACACAGAAACTACAGATTTTRAACACTACAATCCCTAATATACAGACTACTGTTAGGAGCAACTTARGACTACAAACGATAGGTTTATTTGYCGCTAAACGTGCAAAACAAGCGCTMAATGAAAAMTGKCCCCAATAAAAACTAGCCGAGAACTAGCCTTGTTATAAGCAATATAAAAATAACAGCCCTTCAATGATTTGCATCAATTTTGATTAAATAGATGTCTTATAGCGATGGTGGTAAATATCTCTGTGAAGCTGGGAGATTCTAGTCAACATCAGCACACCATTTAACGAAAATCATTCCCTAGAATTAATTCGCCGATTTCGTGATCACTCGCCATTCAAAAACGACATAAGATKATCCCGCTTTTATATTCCGAATTCAAAGAAAGTAGTACATTTGATAGGTAGTTCCTGTAAATGGGATAGTTCAGATCAAACAAGGACTAAAATCACTAACAAGTCTATTTCATTTGAGCTGCACATTAAAGACAAGGTTAGGACATCAACCTTCAATCGTAAGGTGAATAACTCTCACTGACTCTATTTGAATGTTTCAATTAAGAATGAGAGAACGTGTTCCTTTACTAACATAAAAGCAATCTTGCAAACGATTGCCGATCTGCTGGAATTACACATTACACACCATCGAGTCTCGAGGGTGATGCCAACAAACGAGCGATATCAAATSGCCCAGGTATAAATCCCAATCCGGGTGCTGTGTAATGATTTAAGCGATATTTTAGCCAAAGCAACACTGTTAGTGATAATTTCGCTGATATAAACACTAAGTCAATGACAAAGAATATGCAAAAAACATGAGCAATATTACAAAAGGTAACATAGCTTGCCTTGATGTTTTGGCGTGTCGCTGAAGAGGTTTAGAGCTCTCGACGACCGCCTTGGCATTCTGTGGCTCAGCCGAAATACCCTGTCGTTGATTCCTGGATCGTCCTCCCGTTGYGGTTGAAGCGCTTGCTGGCTGCAAAACAGATCGGTATTTGTCCAACTCGCTTTCGAGTCTACGGACCAGCTCGTCTTTTCTCCGTAGTTCTTGTTCGAGAGCCATGATTCTAGAGTCTTTCATCTTCATCTCGCTGTTCTTTTCCTGCAGCGCGTGCTGCAGTTCCCTTAAACTGCCCATTTTGTTGGTAGAAACTCGACCAAAACACAAACAACCCACAGTCGATCGCCGTGTTCTGTAGTTCGAGGTTTCGTTCCCGTAATGCATTCGTGCATCTACAACGGCTTTCGAAATGGACTCTGGGTAATGCAGGATTTTCTTGGCGACCGATCTCGCAAGTTCGGGGTATTAAAAACGGTGTTGACTTGAGCTATCGACGCGGTAGCAGATTAAACGAACGSCAGTGTAATTTCGCGCCTTGTTCAGCCCTTTACAGTGGCCTGCGCAGTGTGCGAGTAGGAATTAAAGCCCACTTAAACATGGGAAAATAGCAAATGCGTGTCAAACGAAGTCCATTAAAATAAAATAGCCTCAGTAGCTCCCAATTCACGCCAGCAAATTCACCAAAAACACGTTCAGTAGAGGAATATTGCCGTTTTCTAATAAGGTGTGTTGAATCGTCTGGTGGGTTTACGAGATAACCAGAACTGGTACAATAAGTCCTGCGCCTGAGCACAAAGGTATTTGATTGTGAGTTAATCCAGTGCWGTCATTGGCTCATTTCGTTTAATATTCATCACACGGGCCTCGAACCAACACATTTTAAGCCSTGAAAATCCCATAGTCCACTCATTAACCCGAAATACAAGACTTTCAAATCGACACTTTAAGTCAGACACTGCGGCTAAATGACAGAATGCCGTGAATTAACAGTTGGGCTCGATTCATAAATGTCTTGTATATGAAAAACTAATCGCCGGCCAAGCTTTCCTTTATTATTTCATGACATTAAATGGAGTGGGTGTTTGTCAATATTAGAATTATACGAATTTTTGTAGAATATACACCGTGCACTTCACCAAAATTCAAGTATTTGAATATTTAGTTTGGGTGCGATAAAAGCACAACTGGCTAGTTCCTCTGTCGTAATTGCGTTTATATATACAATACCAGCGGGCGTTCATCTATGTTAATTAGTTCTTTTTTCTTCAAAAAAGGCCCCGATGTTTCTTTCCTCTCAGACAAATAAAGTAGATATAGTCTCTGTATGTGATTAGCAGCTTTCAGCCCTTGGAGACCAGTCTCAGCTCGTATTTTAATCAATCACTCGTTATACCATCAAATTAACAAAAAGAGTTTCCCTTTGTGGCAATTTTGTTCCCGGAAACGTTTAAAAAGCCCAGTTCATGCTCAAATATTTATCAGATCATTGCATGACATAACCATTTCTAGCCATAAAAACGTAGATAAAATGCTTTTCGTTATATGTACATAAGAGATCCCAAAAAGCACCAAATCATCTTCGTCAACAAGCAAAACGGATTGATCACGAACTAGCAATATTAATATTTACAAGAGAGCTTTCGCCATACCGGACATGGCTCTGCGAGTGTTTAAAAAATATTCATATCTCTCCGGTCCTTATGAATTTTGATTTTACAAGATTAAAAGTATTGTGATTTCAAATGGTTTTCAAAGATAAATCATTTCGTGCGCTATTTTTTTCCCTGATTATAAAATGCTTTCTGGTTGTTTCACACAAATTGTATGCTTGTCTGTCATATCCGGACAAACATCACATTGATGTTTCATGCTGTCATATGCAGTGGTGATTTACAAATGTCAGTTACTTCAGATTTCGCTGGTTTTAAGTTTTTTCTTCTTTTTTACTATATTCATCATTTCTTCTTCCATTTCTCTCTGTATTTTTGTTTTGTTTTCCCTTCTCTTCGCCATTTGTTTATTATTTTCAGTTTTTTTATCTCTTTGACATCAGGTGTTTCTCTCCAAATCATTTTTTTCTTTTCCTTGTTTCGATTCTCCGCCATGTCTTCGGATTTTGTGTTCGCTCCTACTTCGGCATTCTTTGATTCTTAAACGTATAGTCTCAACTAATCATATTTTAATGACGAGTTTGAGTCATTCGAAACCCCTGCCTGTCCCGTATTCTACATAAAATCAAACAATGATAACTGACAACTGGTCGGACAGCAACAACTATAAACAAACTTGTTATTCTAAATTGCATCCATCATGTCATATTGTAAATTTAGTTTATTGCCAAATTCATGTCAAGGAAATCGCTGCTCATGTTACATGTAACGTCCATAGTAT